CCATAGTAATAGGATTATCCAGAATTTAATTAATACACTGAATATTGGCATTATTGTTATAGAGTATTAATAAATTGTAAATAGTGTATTAATCAATTAGAGAGTATTAATCGATTAAAGAGTATTAATCGATTATACATATGGTATGTAAAGATAGGTAAAGAGGAAGAACAAAACTAGTCGTAAAGATAGCTCCATATGATATGTATAATCAATTGTAAATGACTAGCCGTAGATAATAATTTTTGCTTCTAACCCGCCAACTAACCATGAAGTTTATCTAAAATATTGTTACAGTCATTAAAATTAATCTTGGAATGTTTAATAACAATGTTAAGATAGTTCCAAGAAAAATATTTAACATAAAAACTACAGTAATTACAAACACAATTTTAAATTTGAGCCTCAACAACTTATAAAAAATAAAATCTAATATTGAATAAGTAACATGCAAATTAGAAGTTGGACTAAAGTAATCCAAAATCTAAGAAAAACTAGAATTAACATTCACATTACCCGAATCATAAAATCATCAGCATAGATCAAGTAAGAAACATTATTTAAATTATTTATAGAATTATAACCAGCTATGATGATGTTATGAGTTTTCAACCAAGTGGACAAGACATCCGTGATAATAGCAAAAAAAAAAAGAAGAAAGATGACAACCTTGTATTAAACCAGAAGAAAAGGAAAAGCAACATTTCAATTCGCTATTAATAATAACTGAAAAGTAATCATCATAAGTAAAAGTCTTAATGCACTTAATAAATATAAAAGAAAACATATACTCTCCATCCTATCATAGAGAAAAAAACATGTTCATTTTTCAAAAGCTTTCTCCAATTAATTTTGGAGCAAAAATTTTTAGGAGCATTGTTAGGATTAAAACCAAATAAAAGTTCATTGGCTAAAATTATGTTATCAGCAATGTCATGACATTTTGAAAAAAAAATATCTTGAGAAATATAAAGTTTGCTAGAAAGGATGAGCTTAAGACAATTAACAAGAACAATAAATATGACTTTATAAATAGTGTTATAAAAAAATAAACCTAAACTTATCAAAAGAATTACCACTAGAATTTTTTGAGAATACCTACAATAGCAGAATGCTTGATTATATAAAATAATTTAGTAGTATTAAAGAAATACTTAACAATATTAATATAATATGAGCCAATGATTTTCCAAGATTATTTAAAAAAACTTGGAAGAGAAAAAATCAAACCCAAGGGATTAATTACTACAAATATAATGAAAAGCCTGCTTAATATCATTATCAGTAAAATTCATGATTAAACCATCAATATCAACAATAAAAAGAAAGTTAGAATGAGAAAAAAAAATGCTTGCAAACATTAAATTTAGAGCAAAGACTATTCAATAAAGAAGAATAAAAATTAATGACAATATTAACAATATCTTTCTGCAAGTAAACAATCATGTCAATGTTCTGGATCTCTTTAATAAAATTAGAACTTCTTCTAATCTTATTTTATTGATGAAAAAATGAATGTCATCCTCTCCTTTAGAATGACGAGTATTTAACCCTCTGTTTAGCCCATTTATAATCACAAGAACAAATATTCTTGAAATCTTTTTAAATAACAGAAACTTAAGAAAACAAAGATTAATTATTAGGAGAACTATTTAGCATACTCATAACATAATTTTATTTTTATTAATGAAAGTAGAAGAGCATCACTTCCAATTCTTGAAAGCCACTTTCAAATTCTTATGCTTATTAGAAAAAACAAATAAAGGATCACCTTTATTAGGAATATCCCAAGCAGCGTTAACATTAGAGAAAAAGTTAGGATAATTACTCTAATTTTTTTTACATATATATAAACGAGCAATCTAGTCTACTAACATGCCTCATAGTAATAGAACTACTAGAATGATCAGAAAAGGAGGAATTAAAACTTAGAAAAAAGAATTATGAAAATAGTCAAACTACATATAATTACAAAAAATCATATCAAGTAAACATCTAATAAGATTATTCAGTTAATTATTATACCAACTAAAAGAAAAACTCAAATTTTGTAACTCAGTTAAACCAAATCAAGAGCGCATTGATTAAAATCAATAAGCTTGCAATGAAAAGTCGCCTTACCACCAACTTATTCCTCAAATATCTCAATGAAATTAAAATCCTAAAGAAGAATCTTATCATAAAGGGAAATAATAGGTTTTAGAGATCCTTCCTAAACAAAACATCATTTTAAGTATATATATAATGTTGATATAAAAGCTTACAAAAGAAGAAAAAAATATATTCATGTATAAACTGAGGCATAACATGAAAAGCAAAAAAAAAATTAAAGTATCAACATTCAACTTTATCCAAATCCTATAACTATTGGCTAAATTAAAATTATTAACATCTTTGTCATTAAAAAAAAATAAAACTGTTAAATAAGTATGAATTAGAAACATAAATAATATAAATCTTAATTTCCAGAGGATTCCTAAAATATAGCTTAAAATTATTTAAAAAAAAAACTACAATCAGCTAAACAAACATCATTACTAAGCCTATGAATGTTCTAAGCCATAAGATTGGGAAAAAAATAATAAAAATCATTTCCCAGAAACAAACCTTTCAGCCTACCTTTCTTGTTCTTCGAAGAAGGAAAGTAAGAAGAGGGCATATCATTATCAAGATTAGAACCATCACATAAAAGATTAGTATTTAAAGTTTCAGAAATATGTCTGTGGTTATCATGAGGTAATAGAAGGACTATTAATATCAACAATTTCATCAATTATGATGATACCATTTTCCCCAAAAAATCAGAATTGAGGGAACAAACTTCAGCAAAAATATTAATATCAGGGCCAACAATATTCAGCTAAGTAGTAGCAGGGGTATAATAATATAGTATTAATAATATTATTTAAAGAAACATAAAAATTAGTAGCAAGATGTTGAATAAAAGAAGTATAAACAAATAATAAAAAAATAACAAATTAACCTCAACAATCATGTCTAAAATTCAATGGTTGAGTGATGAGAAGAGGTTTACTAAGGCTTCTATTAGGTCTTTGCATCTGATTATTCTTGTTCATAATCCTTCCACAATAGGTATGAATGACAATAGAGATTTTATAGTTATGATTCTTAGAACAAGACGAGGGGTCATGGGTTGTCTTGGGCAAAAGTAAAACAAAATTGTCGTCTTGGGCAAAGGTAAAACAAAATTGTCAAGGAACATGTTTCCACTCATATATAACATATAATGTAATAACTTTCCCTTCAACTTCAAAAGTTATAGAATCAGGCAAAGAAGAATTACATTAAATTTGATATTAACTCTTACAAATGTAAACCTAAAACATTTAGTCATATAGAGTCAACTCCTAAAGGAATTCCTTTCATGCTAGCTATTTGGGAAATGCTCTTTTCTGACAGCGACATAAAGGTAATTTAGAGAATATGGCCCAAACAGAAACATCCTTAAAGTCTTATTACACATACTTGAAATCGTGAGTCCATTTTTTTTTTATAAAGAAAGGGTTTATTGTTAACATGCCAAATATACCCATTAACAAAATTTCAAGATCTTCCATTCAACACAATTTAAAAGGGAAGAAACCATTAGAAAGAGAAACAAACTCAATATCTCCCTTTAATTTCCAGATCATCTTAATGGTAAGAAGAAGATTCCATAAAAGGGTGTCTTACCCAATGCATAACCCACCAAGAAAAGATCCCATTATTTGGAGCAATCCATGATTTGTTGATTTCTAGAAAAAAAAAATTATCCTCTCCAAATGGGATGAAAGAAAGATTATAATTAGGAGAGGAAGAAATGTAAGAATAAAATAAATTTTTCCAGCTAAGGGAAGATTCTGGTCCAATAACATAACACATGGACAAATATGAGAAAGACTGGAAAATGATAGGACCCGTCAAAGAGAAGAAGAAGAGGCAAAGCCCCAAAACACCAAAGAAAACCACTAGCAATAAAGAGCAGAAAAGGGGAATTGGGTTTTCTATAAGAAATGGAAAATAACAAAGAAGACCTAGAAACCTTAAAGGCCGCTTCAAAATGCAAGAACCTATAAGGTTTCCTGAATCAACTTTGAAACCCTTTTGGATCGTCCAAGATTACAAGATTTGATCTCAATTCACCATTCCAGAAGCTCCAAATCGAATCTTTAATTTTGAGTCCAATGCAGTCAAATCCATCAAATTATTTTTATGAAAACACCATTTATATTGTAGTTTATTTTGCAATTATTAGAAATCAAAATAAAATATTTGAAACTTAGTTAAGCAAAAGAGAGCAAGTAAATACCAACAATCTCATATTTATTTATCAGGAAAAAAAAAATCAATGCTACAAATCATTTCTATCTACTTTCATAAATTTCATATGAAACCCCTCTTCTTCCTCCTTAACCTATTTTTTTCTATTATTTGTCACAATGAGCATGATAAGGGTCGTTGTGAGTGTAAGGAATGCCTGATGACCAAGCAAGCGGCGTAGCAAGTTCTTCTCAAGTGGCACTCCTAAGTAACATAGCAATGGTGTCCAACGGAAAAAAACTGGTGCGTCCAAAGTCTGAACGCAAGCAACGTCCGGACAATTGACGCGATACACAGAGGAAGCAGAGGAAAAAAAACCGACATCCCCGTGCATCGTGTCCGGACTCCAAACTCAATATTTTCTCATCCAATGGGGGCGGCCAAGGGAATTGGTAACAAAGTGTTATTTATGTGTTTAATTAGTTTTGGGTGATGTAGGTGTGAGTATCATGTTTTAAGGCTGGGACATGTAAATACGAAAGTTTTAGGTGTTATATATGTAAAAATATCCTATTATGATGATGTATGATACATGCACATCCCGTATGAAACATGCTTTATTTTTTGGGAACCGAGACTAGGCTTATTTTTTAACAAAAAAATTAAATAAAAAATTCACAATAAAAGTTAAAATAACCGTCGGTGAGCGTAAGCAACAAACCTGCTATAAACCCTTGCCACTAGTTTTTATCACCGCTCGCCGCGTTAGGAGGAAGTGGAAGCGGGTGCGTTGCTGTCCTGCTGCTCCCTCCTCTTCCGCCTTACCCTACTCTCTCTCTCCCTTCTTAACATGGAGGTCCGCCGGAGATTTCCTCCTTTTTCCTCTTCCTCGGCCTCCTCCGCCGGCACCATCCGCCCTCCTCGGGCGGCGCCTCTATCTTCCGGCGGCCGCATTCAGGCCTCCGACGCCCTGCCCATCCCTATCCGCCACACTAACCTCCTCTTCTCCCTCCTATTTATCTGCTCCATATTCTTTCTTATGCGTCGTTGGCGTGACAAGGTCCGCGAGTCAATCCCTCTCCACGTCGTCGACCTCTCTGAGCTCATTTCCATCGTCTCCGTTGTCGCATCCCTCATCTACCTCCTAAGTTTTTTCGGCATAGCTTTCGTTCAATCCGTCGTCTCCTCTCACGAAGACGAGGTCGACGATTTCACACCCGACGGCAGAATGGCTCCCACTCCGGCCCCTTCGTGTGATCTGGCTGCGCCGGTACTTGCAGGCCGCGAGGATGAGGACATTATCGCTGCCGTTGTTTCGGGAAAGACGCCATCCTACTCGCTGGAGTCCGTGATCGGAGATTGTCGTCGCGCCGCTGAGATTAGGCGCGAGGCTATAAGGAGGATCTCGGGAAAAGGTCTGGATGGGCTACCTCTTGAGGGATTTGATTACGGGTCGATTCTTGGGCAGTGCTGCGAGATGCCGGTAGGTTTTGTTCAGCTTCCTGTGGGGATCGCCGGGCCGTTAAAACTTGATGGAAGGGACTACTATGTTCCTATGGCAACGACTGAGGGGTGTCTCGTGGCCAGCACTAACAGAGGGTGCAAGGCGATCTTTGAGTCAGGCGGGGCAGCCAGCGTAGTGCTTAGGGATGCAATGACAAGGTCGCCGGTGGTGAGGTTTTTGACCGCAACGAGGGCAGCTGAACTCAAGTTCTTCGTGGAGGAGCCTAGTAATTTTGACACAATTTCCGTCGTTTTCAACAGGTAAATCATTCTGTCTATAGCTAGTGTTTGTTTGTAATCATTTATGACGTGTCAGCACATGGTATCAATGCAGAGTAATATTAAATAAAATACTGATCATATCTACAAGCAATATTTTGAGCCTCCTTATCTAAATGCTTACCGTGCCTCTATGTCTTTGTAAAATGAGGTAAATTTCTCCTTTAGACCTTGTTTATTATGCTTTGTTAGTCACATTGGATTATTTCTCAAGTTAAAATGGAAAATTTGCTTTGAAGCTGTTTCGTGGGTGGCATAGCTGGTTTTGTATTATTGCATATTTTTTGTCTTTTGCTCTTTATGATTTGTCTTTGTTTTTTTTGTTGCTTATGAGGTGTTCAACAAAGGATTTATGCATAACAGTTTCTTTCTTTGCAATTGCTATTTTTTTTCTTCTCCTTTTCCACCCATTCGTTTAGATATGGCCTTAGTTTAACCTCACGTTTTGTTGTGCTTTCAGTGGAGGTATTAGTTGGGCTGTCTGGCGCTCTTTATCTTGTACTTGTGGTCCTGTCATTGGAGAAAAAATAGAGCAGGATATCTGATCAAAACATGGTCTGATTTTAAACTATTTGATTTATTTCAGGACTCTTTTATTAAATTCATTTTAAAATGAATGTAATGGGGGTGTTTGGCTGCAATCAGAATTTAAGTGAAATAGGCTTTAATAAATCCAACCAGTATTTAAGTTAAATAGGATCTAGTAAATCTGTTAAATCCGGCTTTATCAAATCGAGTTGCTGTTAAATCCAGAATAGTGTTTGGCCCAGTTAAGGTTAAATCCAGATTTAGTTTGGTATAAATCCGTTTGAGGCGTTTTCTTCCTAAGCCAAATCCGTTAAATCTACCTAATATTCGGATTTAGCAAATCAGAATTTATGCCGAAAAGGAGATGGAACTGAGAGAAAATTGGATTTACAGGAGCCGGATTTAGCTACCTCATTATGTTTTTTTTTTCTATTTATTTTTTTTTTATTTTTTTTTCCGTTTGGCTTAATTTACATTAAATGTTCCGACGAAAATACTATTAAAAGGGTGCTAACAAAAGTTTTTGCAATTCTTCTTTAATAAATTTGATTATAATTTCCTTACATAATTTCTTATCTCAAGTGTGTCTGTGGTATTCTTGCAGCATGGGCATGTAGCTTAAATTTTTAATTTCTCATTAGACCCGGTGCATTGAGTTGCTTTTTTCTAGCCCATTCAATTACCCTTTTCTTTTCGTTTCCTTTTTTTTTTTAAAAAAAAATTTCTTATCTGCACCTCCTTTCACTCCTCCCTTGATATTTTCTCTAGTCTTGGCTAATTTTGTGTATTTAGAGGTTATTTAGCTACAAGTAGTACTTGAGTAGGATTTAGTAAATCCCATTGATCCAAATTTAGTAAATCTTTGAGGATTAATACATAAAACTATTTGATATTACAACTATTAAGTTTTATAAATTGTTTAACCATTTATTTTAGAATCTTTGACTTATCAGAGGGAGAAATGTTTAAATCCATTATATTATGTGAATGTTGGGATTTAACAATTTCTGGATTTAACTACTAATAGCTTCGGAACGATATTTATCAAACCTCCAAGATTTAAAATTCTTGAAATTCCATTTGGTCGGATTTATGCTAAATCTTGCTCCAAGCCCACCTAAGGAGCAAATATTACATCTGGACTCTGGACGCAATTTGAGTCCGGAATCCAATGTTGGGGCGCCACATGTTAAGTGGGTTCATCGCAATACACTGGAATTGGTCAGTGTTAAAAATTGTGGGTCCACTTGACACGTGGCGCCCCACTATCGGACTCCGGATGCATCCGGAGTCTTGACCTAATATTTTCTCCTACCTAAGATACAAGATGAATTTTTTTTATCCCAGCAGAGTTATGTTTAATAAAAATTCCTTATATCTTTCCAAACTTTTATCGATTTATGCAGATCAAGCAGATTTGCAAGGCTTCAAAGTGTCCAGTGTGCGCTTGCAGGGAGGAATCTCTATATGAGATTTTCCTGCAGTACTGGAGATGCAATGGGGATGAACATGGTCTCTAAAGGAGTGCAAAATGTCTTGGATTATCTTCAAAATGATTTTCCAGACATGGATGTTATCAGCCTCTCTGGTAAGCCTTCTTGATTTTGATTCCATTGTTTCTCTGAATACCATAAGAGTTAGTGTCTTTTCCTTCTTTAGATGTAAGAATTAATATCTAAGATAAATTTTGATTGTGTTTTCACCCAATTGAAAGAGAACAATATGTTTCTCCTTCAACTATTTTATGAAGTTTACAATACACAGATGCACATGCACATGCACTTGTATGCATGCATGGGCACGAGCATTCACTCACACGCATCACACGTACAACTAGAGTTGGGGGGTTCCTCTCTCTCTCTCTCTCTATGTGTGTGTGTGTGTGTGTCTACATATCAATGTTCTATCAAAATTTTCTCTGAAAATTTAGATATGCAATTCTGGATTTAAAAGCACACAGAGGATTGAAGTGACTCAAATTACAGCTTCAAGACTTGATCTTGGGCCAGATGGAGCCTAAATATCATTAAGCATATATGCTACTCTCCATAGATTAAACTATTTCTTCTACATGCATCCTTTTAAATACATCAGAAAAGCAACTTTGGCTCCCATTCATGATAGACCGCATCACTTGATCCTCAAACACCTTCACCTTCTGCTACAACTTGGACATCGCTAACTCTCTTCTATGCCTCTTCACCTTTTTCGTCATTGTTTTTCTTGCGTTTCATTGCGCAAAGAATGTGTTTTTTCCAATTTCTGATTCAGCTTCCGTCATGCTTGAGACCTAAAATGAAGACTTAAAAAAATCTGTGGCCAAAAAATCCTTCAACTTTCAAAATAGAAAGTACAAAGGGTCTTCTTGTCAAACACTATTTAATTTGTCACTTTTAAATTTTTTTACGGGGTTGTGCAATTCCTAAGCAACCGGCATTTCCCAGATTTTTCCAAACAAGAATACTTGGAGAAGCTGTCCAAAATTTTTTGTGGAGCATCTACAAAAAGTTTTAAAAATTTTTTACAATTGAGAAGTTTCACTATTTTTAAGGAGTTATAAACCAAGATAAAAAATGTTGGTCTTTTATAGCAAGCAAATCACTGTCAAACAACAACAAAAGAAAAGAAAAATCATGGAGGAGGCCTTTGATGCGGGCAAATAAAAAATATATAGCAATTTTTTGCTGTCAGGTTTGGCTAAAAAATTCATTAAAATAAAAAGGTAAAAATTTTAGCCTAGAAATTTTGTGAGAGGAAAGGTCTTTCAAAACTCAAGCCAACAGCGTTTCACGTCTAAGAAATTTTTTATAAAAGATTATGTGAGGGTGAACATACAAGTATACAAAGAAATACAATGATGGGACTCTGCCTTGACTTTTTACTTCATGACCATCTTTTCCAGGTTAATTTTATCTCTTTAAATAGAAAAATTAGAACCGCTAAATTAGTGTTTGTTTCACCTTTATTTACAATTGTGTTTCTCTAATATAACTGTCATTTCTTAGAGTAAAGATAGGACCTCTAAATTGTTGTTGTGTACTGCAAACTCTTACATATTATTGATGTTTTCTTCAAGAGATAATATTTAGTCTTTTTTCATGGCAAAATTGGAGCCTCAAGAGCAGGATTGTTTTTTTAATGGTTAAAGGGATTTTTTTATAATTTGGGAAATTTACATACCTATCACTCAATTCCTATATATTAACATATCAACCACTAACTTCAATTTTTATCTCCTCACCACCCAGCCTATGCCAAAAACATAGGAATTGGGTGGTCTATATGTAAAAATTGAAGTTTGGGTGGTTCATATGTTAATATGTAGGAATTGGGTGGTATTTATGTAACTTTGGTAAATTTTGTAGCCTAAAATTTGGTAGCCTTTATTTGTTTAAAATTTGGTGGCCTAAAATTTGGTAGCCTAAAATTTGGTAGCCTTTATTTGTTTAAAATTTGGTAAACTAAAATTTGTTGTGGATTTAGGGACACTTTTGCAATTTGTTTTTATTGGGTTTTCTGTCACAAAATATTAACAAATATTCTTTATAAATTATAATTGTTTTTATTTTTTTGTTAAAATTAAAAGGAAAATTAAAAATGAACAAATATCACAAATTAAATTAGCAAAAAATATGAAAATTCTAAAAGAAATTATGCCTTTATTTATATCATTTACGGGCTTGAGGAGGTTTTACGTTTTTTTTTTGTTCCAAACTATTTTTTTCACATTTTTAAGTTGTTTGTGCTGTGGGGTACTACTCACAAGAGTTTGGAAATTTTCCTCTTGTGATCAAATGTGACATCAATGAATGGTATATCTACCCTAGGGATGAAATACTACCATACGATAAGACCCAATCTCGAAGTGATTGTTTCACTTATTATGGAGGGCTCTGAATCAGAAAATTTTGCCACCCTAAAAGGGTAGGATTTATTTTAATTATGGGATTTGATATCTTTAAAGATGCAAGCTCTTTTAATCAATTATATTTTATAAAAGATCATATTCTAAGAAAATTCTCATTTAAAATAATTATATTTCAATTGTGCAAATCATAGAGATGGATTTTCAAGTCTGTTAATTGAAATTTGAAAAGAGAATGACTCAAATTTATGCTATTTCAAAGAGCTGGCATTTTTTGCATTTATGTTATTTCGGAGGACAAATTTATAGATATATGTACAAACACACAAAAAAGAGAGAGAAAGAAGAAATCAAAATTGAAGTTCCATAGGTCAAATGTTTCAGATACCTCACATCAATGTGCTTGATACGAGCATGATGAATTGAATTTGTGGTCAAGAATATTGTACTTTGACTATCACAGAATAACGTCAGAGACTCCTGATCAATTCCCAAGTCACCTAACAGGTTTGCATCCATATTGTTTTATCGCATTCGTGATTGCGATGTACTCATCCTTCGCAGTAGACAAAGTAACAGTAGACTGGAGAACTAACCTCTGATTGACCGGACCTCCTGTCAATGTGAATAAATAGTCAGTTGTAGATCTCCGCCTATCCATATTACTGCATAGTCCGAGTCAGTGTAAGCTACACACGAATCTATAGTAGATGATTGTCTCTCAAATACCAAACCAACATCAGCTGTACCCTTCAAATACCTCAGAATATTCTTTATAGTCCGTCAATGTCTCCTTTTTGGATCATGCATGAACCTGCTCACAACACCTACTTGTGCAATGTTTAAGACAAATCCTGACATATATCAGATTGCCCACTGCACTATCATAAGGAACTAATTGCATATCTTTTCATTCCTGATCTTCTTTATGAAACTGATCTGAACTCAAATGAAAAAGAGATTTAATGGGTAAACTCACTGTCTTCTTCAAGTCATCAATCCCAATTTTCTACAGCACTTTCTGAACATAAGTTTCTTATGAAAGCTAAACTTTTACAACTGTCTTGTTTCTGAGAATCTCCATGCCAAGAATTCTACGAGCTTCACCCAACCCCTTAATTTTGAAATGTTTAGACAGCTGATTCTTCATCCTATCAATATCAATCTGGCTGGCAGATGTAATCAAAATATCATCAGCTTATAAAAGCAAGTAAATGAACTCTTCTTTGGCCAACTTTTTTAAAAATGCATAATGATCATAATGGATCATTGTTTTCTCGTGTTTCTTCATGAACTGATCAAAATTTTTCATACCACTGTCATGATGATTACTTAAACCTATGCAAAGCTTTGTCCAATTTGCAAAGCAACTCTTTTGATGTTTCATATCCAGGTGGCTACAACATGTAGATCTCTGACAATTCTCCATGTAAGAATGTAGTCTTCACATCAAGCTGATCTAAGATCAGACCATACTGTGCTATAAGTGCTAAGAGAACATGGATTGAGGAATGCTTGACCACTGGAGATAATGCTTCATCATAATCAATCCATTCTCTTTGTGCAAACCCCTTTGCCATTAATATTGCTTTGTACCGCACATCAACTCCATGAGATCCTTTCTTCTTTACATGCACCCATCTGCATTCGATAGCTTTCCTTCCAAGAGGAAGCTTCACTAAGTACCATTCTTCTAAAGAGACTCCATCTCTTCATCCATTGCCGGATCACAGTCTGGTCTCTTCGCTGCTTCTTTGTAGTGACACGGAATTTTTGCTTTTGTGGCTGAAAGTACAAATACAATGTGATCCCTCAAACCAAATTGGTTTTTGGGATATTCAAGCGTCTGCTCTTGCTTCTAGCAATTAGGGTTGTAATCGAACCAAGTCAAGTATGCCATAGTTTAAACTTGGCTTGGTATAATTATAAGTTGTTCATGTTCTGTTTGAACCTGTGTCGAGCTTTCATATATGGTTCAAGCTTGACTTGTTTGAATTTTTTAATGTTTGAACTTGATTTGTCAATGAAAAGTGAACTAGTATTTAAACGAACTAATAATTTAAAGGAATATCTAGATTTTTATACAAAAAAATATCAATAAATAATTTTATAAATTTAATTGTAACTATTAATTTATTGTTAAAAACTTTAAACCCTACAATATCTTAAATCTCATTTCTCCTCTATTTTACCATAAATCCCTTGCTTAGAGGTTGTTTAGAAAAAATGATTTGCGTAGCATTTAAGCTTGCTTGAACCTAAATCCTGCCAAATAACTAAAAATGACAAATTGAAGACCTATATAAACTTAATATCTGATTTATATATTATTTATGGTGTGAGCTAGCATCGAACTATCAACTAACGAGTTAATATTTTAGGTAATTAAATTTATTTAAATAATATATCATATAAGAAACATACTATCATCGAATTTAATATTGAGTGCTTAACAAGTAATATGTTGAACAACAAAGGAGTTTGTTCGTGAACATAAATAAACAAGTTCGATTATGTTCATGTTTTATCCATTTAAGCTTAATGCTTTTAAAAATTGCTCCAACTTGTTTATTTACTAATTTAAACAAACATGATTAAGTCTTATTCGTGTCGAGTTCGAGTTATTCATCGAGTGCATTGGTTCATTTACTGCCCTACTAGTAATAGATTGTTGAGCAGAAATGTCATCATCGACATCTTTTACCATCTCTTAAGCAGTATTAATAGATACATCATGAGCTACAACTAAATCAGATATCTGAGTCGGAGTGGATAAACTCTGTGGAACAAATGAAGTTGTATCAAACTTTAACTTTTCTGTATATATGTGGTCTCAGTAGAACTCTCCGACTGCTTTGAGTCCCGATTTTTCAATAAGCTTGCATCGTTGAATATAGCAACTCTTTCTTTTTGACTAACCATATAACTTGAAGCCCTTGACTCCACTCCTGAAACTAATAAAGATCGTCTCCTTTGCTCGTGATTCCAGTTTATCATTCTGCACATGTTAGTAAATTGGACACTCAAACACTTTTATATGCTCATAATCTCTAACATACCACATATCCTTTCGAGTATTCTTCTCAATAGTTGCAGAAGGTAGACATTTCACCAATTGACAGACATTCTATGACATCGATCCAATCGTTTTTATTCAGCCCCGCATTGGATAATATACACCAAAATTTCTCCACCAAAGTCTAGTTTATCCTCTCTGCCATCTCGCTCAGTTGTGGTGTCTTTCGAACGGTGAAGTGGTGCTCTATCCAAGCTCTCTAACACTCTTGCAAGAATACATTTGAAGTGTATTCACCCCAAATGTCTGATCTAATACATGAGATCTTTTTATTAGTCTGGGTCTCAATCCACTTCTTCCAAGTTATGAATAACTATAGCATTTCGTTTTTGCGCTTCATGGTGCACACCCAAACATACATGAAGTAATCATCAATAAAAGAGACATTATCTCCACACGCTGAATGATATTATCTTTATTAGCCCCAAACATCTGTATGAACATACTGTAAAATATCTTTTATAATGCGGATGACAGTCTCCAAAGATACTTATGTATTATTACCAAATATATAATATTCACAAAAAAGAGCTTGTAGGTGTCTACTCTTTTGATCATTTTTTTCTTCTCCAAAGCCTGAAATAAAGTTTCTCTAGCATAAACTAGCCGCATATGCCATAACATAGTGGCCTCAGAAACATTATCAACAACAACAGACATTCCAGCCAAATTACTAGCTTGAAGATAATAAATATTGTGATGACGAACTTCATTCATTAAAATCAGTGTTCTACGACATATCCTCAGAACTCATGCCTCTGTGACTACCTTGTAGCCCTTAGACTCTAAAATCTCAAGTGACATCAAATTGTTCCTGATATCTGAAACATGCTTCACATCAATTAGCTTCCTCACAGTATCATCATGTGTCCTGATAAAGACACTTCTTACACCAATAGTATGACAATCTTGATCATTACCTATAGTCACAACACTGCTATCGAGCTCTTTGTACTTACAGAACCACCCTAGATTGGGAAAAATGTGATAGAAAACATTATTGTCCAGAAACCAACACAAATTATTTGTAAACAAACTGTAAGAAATTGCAGATAATGATACATTTGAACCCATCTTTTCACATTTTTTCACACTAATATTGGCTTTCGTCCCAGATGCAATTTCTTTTCCCTTTTCCTTCAATTTTTCTTCAAATAACCAGTCTTTAAACATAAAACACACTTATTTTTCCTATGATTGCACTCCCTAGACTTACCCCTCTTTTGAGATGTGTCGTTGCTACCAACTTTTTTTGCTAAATTCTTTTTTTTCTCGTATCTGTCACGTTGGAGTGCAAGTGCCTTAGCTGACTCTATTTTTGTGGATTCTTTGTCCTTTCGAAGAAACTCATGATTCGATAGTCATGATCACTTCGTCATAACTAATACTTTTTTCCTATGAATGAATGTCATAATAAAGTTTTTGTACTCATCTGATAACAAATTCAACAAAATGAGTGTTTTACCTTCATTTTCAACCTCATTTAAATTGAACAGATTTGCTAATAACATTGTGAAGTCATTCAAGTGCTCATAAATAGTATCCCATCGTCTCCTCTGAAATTTATAGAGTCGATATTTCATATGGAGAGTTTGTTCACACAGATCTTTGGGGCTCGATGAAGGTACTATCAATCCAAAAGATCACATACTGCAGGAATTTGGTGAATATCCGAGCTCAGGATTGATTGTCCAATCAGACATTTTGACGAACTGCACGAGGCTTGTTCATTTTGGGAGGGGTTACGTAGGTAATTATCTTGGTGAGTGCAGCTGAATTGGAGTTGGATACTCATTTTTGTCAACTCTCACTCATCTGGAAGTAACAAATGAGGTGGAGATTGTTGTATTTATGACTTATTTGTGATTAGGAGTAATTTTGTCTTTTGACCCTTTTTACTCCGAGTTCTCTTCTATAAAAATGACTTTAGGGCTTATGAGAGATATATGGTGAGAAGTGCGAGTTATAACCCCTAGCATTTTTTCTCTCTTTCAAAAAAAAAAAATCTTTTTTCTTTTTTACCTTCCCTGATTCTGAAATTTCTTTTCCTTCTTAAAAAAAAATTTCTTTTTAAAACTTTTTTTCCTTGTGCTATTTACTGAAATCTCCTTTTGTTTTAAAAAGTAAACCGTCATTTTCCTTTTTAAAAAAGAAACTTTCCTTTTTTACTTGTTATGACTCCTAAAATTCTTAACAATGGTTTTTCTTTTATTTCCATGCACGCTATTCCACGTGATTAGTCCTTATGTTGTACTGCAACTGACCAATCGTCGGACTGTAGACTCGCTGGATGTCAGATTCACCGTAAGAGCTGCCATAACAACCTTCTGTCACCCTCGGAACCACCGCAGTCCCCTGTTGTTGTGAGTCCTTCTGCCACACGTTGATTTTAGCATCTAAGTCGTTGGTCTATCGCCGATCTGCCGCCGGACCTCCGAATCTGCCCACAAAGGGCGTCGGACCATCTGCTGCAAAAAACTCCGACAACATGCACTAGATTTGTAGCTGTCAAGCCGAACCACGCTTCAATCAAGAACTCGAAGCTCTGATATCAATTGTTGTACAAAAACAATACGTAAATGAAGAAATCACTCAACAATAATTAAACACAAAAGATTTATGTGGTTCAGCGGATTCACCTACAATCACGAGGATGGAGATTTCACTGGTACTGGATGGAGAGAGAAAAAAGGCTAGGAGTTACAACTCACACTTATTACTATATCTCTCAATAAACCATAAATACAACAATTGGAGCCTGGAATTGCTTGAACATCCACTTGGTTTTGATTGTTTTGATTTAGGGTGCTCAAATTGCCGTCCCTGCTTTTTATACGATTATTTTTGGGTTTAATCATTTTTAGGACAAGGGTGAAGGCCAGCCCTTCAGAGACATTGGGCGCAGTAAACCATCCCTTCGGCCCACTCGTGCTGCGAGGACCTTTGTGGTGGTGTTTGCTTGTCTCAATTTCCTTTCAATTTAGCCAAGTTCATTTACCTTGATTTGAACCTACCTAGTTCCTATGACCTTTGTAGGCCTTTGATTCATGAATTATTGATGGGGTTTGATCATTCTCAAGAAAATGACCATTTTAGCTTAAAAATGGTGGCATAATGTAGTTGTTTTTTGGTTGCCCGAAATTTTATTCTTGTATCTTTCAGGAATTATCACAACTTTGATTTGACTCTAGTTCATGGGTCAATTTTTGCTCTAGATTTCTCTTGAGATGAATATTCCAATACCAAAATTAATAGCATGTTGTTCTTAGACGATCCTAGTTTCGATCCATAGATCTTCTTATGCACTATCAGGTCATTCTAACTCATGGAATCATGATCTTTAAACTCCATTTAGCTCATTGCTTTTAGAGTTTAAAATGGGACATAAGTTCTCTAATTGGCGACTCTCTTGTTGGTGGCCACAATTTTTTAACACATGTTGCTAGATCCCCAATCTAACCATGACTTGGTTGGTTTAGGGATAGGAAGTGCAATAACTATATGATTTGTGAAGAGCAAGATCTGACGTGCCCTTTTTTTGGTCCTCACCGGAAAGTATGTTGAACGGGATTCAGTCTATCACAATTGGAGCAAATCTTTTCTTTTATTTTTATGGCACACAATCGTCCAATTGTCATGGTTAAACTTGATGCACCTACATATTTTTCTTTAAAAATATTACCTTAAAAAGCACAAGTTTTTCATTAGAACTGTTAAATGCCTCCAGTGCGGCACGTGCTAAATTTTTCTTAGCTCTACTTTATTACGACAGGCAACTTCTGTTCGGACAAGAAACCGGCTGCAGTTAATTGGATCGAGGGAAGAGGGAAATCTTTGGTCTGCGAGGCTGTCATCAAAGAAGAGGTGGTCAAGAAGGTTCTGAAGACGTCTGTGTCTGCACTTGTAGAGGTGAATACAATCAAGAACCTTGCTGGTTCGGCCATAGCTGGAGCCCTTGGAGGCTTCAATGCTCACGCCAGCAACATAGTATCAGCCATCTTCATTGCCACCGGACAGGATCCCGCCCAGAATGTGGAGAGTTCTCAGTGCATCACGATGATGGAAGCGGTGAATGATGGGAAAGATCTTCACATTTCTGTTACTATGCCATCCATTGAGGTGATTATGCTTCTGACTTTACAATATCACATTTTTATGGCGCTTTCTTGGTTTTGCAGAAGCTTATTAATTTTTACCCTCTTTTCTTACATTCCCCTTCAGAAGTTCCAAATATAGATGTCAGTAACTTCGTTTTCTACATTCTGCTAGCTCATTTTGCTAAAATTTGCAGGTGGGCACTGTTGGTGGTGGCACCCAGTTAGCATCTCAGTCAGCTTGCCTTAATCTCCTTGGGGTGAAAGGCGCAAACACGGAGTCTCCCGGGGCAAATGCCAGGCTTCTTGCCACCATTGTTGCAGGCTCTGTGCTTGCTGGTGAGCTCTCTCTCATGTCTGCCCTTGCAGCCGGTCAGCTTGTGAAGAGCCACATGAAATACAATAGATCATGTAGGGATATCACCAAAGTTGCTTCCACTTGATGACAACAGAACACTTTGTAGATAGCGCTATTAAAATAATACTCTGGAGAGAGTAGACAAGGTTTGTACTTTGTTGTTTTATCTAAGCAGCAATTCTTGAATGTGTGGATTTTCTGCAAGTTCTTTCTGTAAAATTTGCGGAGCAGCTGAATATTTCTCTCTTTTTAGGCCTTTTATTTGTCTTCTGCTGTATTTTTCTTTAAAGTAGTCATGATTTTGTGCAATTTATTCTTGCGAGAAACTTGAATTCTTCCTCTTTTCAACCTTTTTTGAATGAAAGAAAATCATTTGCTGGCGAACTTGCAGTAAAGTACTTAATGCTGCTGTTTATAGTTGAAATTTTGTTAAATGAACTTTTATGAAGTGTTGCAGAAACTAATTGAGATGCTGCTGAGAGCAGGAAAACATGAGGATTGAAAAAGGTTTCAATTTATAAGGTGATTGTGGCATGGGCTGAAGAGCTTGATATCAAGCAATTATGGGCAGTGATTTGTGCGCTATCTCTATGTATTATTTAAGGGAGATTTGCATACATATCCCTCAATTCTATCATTCTATGTATTTACACATTTAACACTGAAAACTTTAATTTTTTACATGTATGCCACCTTATCTATAAAATAATAGTATTTTTGATGTGATGTGAAAGATTTGAGTGATGTAAATATAAAAAGTAAAAATTAAGGTGTTTGATATGTAAATATATAGGAATTGGGTGGTATGTATGTAGATGCCCCATTATTTAAACTTTGATAGCTGAATATTCAGGCTAGCTTCTGATCTTAAGTTGCATTGGCTAGGCTCCGATTTTCTCAGTCTTGCAAGCCCTTGCCTACAAATAAAGGGAGTGGAGCTAAGCACTGTTATTTTCTTATATTTGATTTTAACTAAACATGGATGAGATCTTAATTATAAAAATTTATTTAAATTTATTTATTAATTTTATTTTAGAATTGTAATCTTTTTTGGAATAATTCTATATTTGTTACAAGTAATTAAACATTGATGTGTCGTCAAGAAATTTTTATCATCATGCAGAAATCTCAATGCATGTGAGCAAGAAGTGTGAGTGCACTATTAAAAGCTCTACTCTTAAAGTCTTGACACTTTTTGTTCAACATTCAAGATCGTATCCAATCTACAGAATATCACGTGTCATTGTCAGCCACCACCACCAGTAATTATTGCAGCCAACTACAATTATTAAATACAATTATCTTTATCACTATTGTTTGTCACAAACTATGACTTCTATAATTAATAACATCATTTATGTCCAACTACAGTTGTTATAGCCCCATCGTGATTATTGTAGGCGAACTGTAAGAATTATAATCCCGATTATCTCATATAGTTATATATACCGGGCTATTTCTAAACAATTATATTTTCGACATATCTTGTTATCTGATCTACCTTAATTCATTTGAATAATGGATGTATGTACTCATGAATATAAATTGAATTATTTTAACTGATTGAAGTCCCATTATTTTTTCCTCTTCGAAGGTTTTCCATATAAGAAAACTTTAGTTTCTTCTCTCATAATTTTTGCTTTATATCTATGTGTGTTGGATCATAGTGCATTGTTAAGACATTAAATTATTATTCTACCGCTACAAATTTTCTAGCACAAAACAAATATACAACTTAATTATATGAAATAATTATATTTACATATTTTATTCATATTTAATTAAATTTATTAGGTATTATTTACTCTATTAGGTGAAGTTCCAATGTAAATTAGAAAAATTATAACTTCCATAACTAGTTAATATTTTCATCACATGTATAGCTCCAATAAGATACTTGTTTTCCAAAGTATATAAGATATAAAAATAATCTAAAGATATTTAATCAATAATAAAATAAGCGAATAAATTGCCATTAAATAAATATTTTGTTATATTATGACTCATCCTATTTATCACAAATTAGTATGTTGATATGTTCGTTAATTGAACACTAAACATTTTGATACTTTAAATCAATATCAAAATTGTTAATTTAAAAATTGAACCAATCAAAAGAAATATTTGGTATGGTTCTATTTTCTAGTTATAACTAGATAATGTACACCCATATAAGTGACAACCAATAGCAAGGTAGAACAATAAAAGCAAATATGATTGATGTGTATCATACAATTTTGTTATTTAAATGATTAAAATTTACGCTCAAAGTGATCAATGTGCATTTGGCATGCTCTATTTATAGGTGTGTTGAGATATTATATTTTTTAACCATGACAATATGGTATAGTCATTTTTAAGGCTAAGATGACAACTTTAGGAGAAAATATTACAAATTTGTTATTTAAATGATTAAAATTTACACTCAAAGTGATTAATGTGCTCTTGACATGCTCTATTTATAGGTGTGTTGAGAGATTATATTTTCTATTCAAGATAATATTGTATAGTCTATTTTTAAGGCTAAGAGATGACAACTTTAGGACAAAATATTATAAATTTGTTATTTAAATGCTTAAAATTTACACTCAAAGTGATCAATATGCTCTTGGCATGCTCTATTTATAGATGTGTTGAGATATTATATTTTCTAATCATGACAATATTATATAGTCAATTTTTAAGGCTAAGAGATGACAATTTTAGGGGAAAATATTATAAATTTGTTATTTAAATAATTAAAATTTATACTCAAAGTGATCAATGTGCTCTTGGCATGCTCTATTTATAAGTGTGTTAAGATATTATAATTTCTAACCATGAAAATATGGTATAGTCTATTTTTACGCCTAAGAGATGACAACTTTAGGAGAAAATATTACAAATTTGTTATTTAAATGATTAAAATTTATGTGCTCTTGGCATGCTCTATTTATAGATGTGTTGAGATATTATATTTTTTAATCATGACAATATTGTATAGCCTGTTTTTAAGGCTAAGAGATGACAACTTTAGGATAAAATATTACATACTTTGTAAGTATATACTCATGCAGGGTTTGCATGGATCTCAAGGCAATTCAGTAGTCGGTCGCTTCACTTCAGTCGATCAGTCAAGCTCTTCTCTTGGTCACCTCACTTCAGCGGACCAACTAACCTTCTCCTTCGGCTAGCAGAAATCTGGCGAGGGACTCCCCCACCCCCCTCCCGAAGAGGGTTTTTTAGTAGAATATATCAATACAAAAGATTAAAATATCCAGTGACTTTTGACTCCACTCACTTATAACATCATGCTTTGTGGAATAGAAGGAGCCGCCGAGTCCAGGGACCACCCCAATTCGCCCCGAGAGGGCAAGTCTCTCTCCCTCTCTCTCTCTCTCAAGTTTTTTTTCCACGATCTTACGCTTTATTTCTCCGGGTATAGTCTGCCGGGCATATTTGAATTCAACAATTTAGGTTCAATTATAATAGTTAAAAGGGTGCAAGAGTTATGCTGCAGATATCAGTCATATATATTTAGATTATGCTCCCTCTATTGTAGATATAACAGTGGCTGAAACCAAATCATATAAATTTTGATGTTTTTGTTTTAGATTTTTAGTTTTTCTTTTACCAAATCATTCCCGATTTATATCATCATTGCCACCTATATATCTCTTTACGACTGGATCTATTGATTAGCATATTCATTTGCCTGTGATTTTCTAAATATAATTTAAATTTAATTAATTTATTAGAATTTAGATTACATCTATTCCCCCCCCATAAATAGGAGGGTCATTTCATGTAAACTGGGTATTGGTTCCCATCACTTGTAAAATCGTGATTTATGGAAAAAAAAAGGGTCTGTCGGGCCAGGGAACCACCCTAATTTGCCCCCGAGAGGGCAAGTCTCTCTCTCATTCTCTCTCAAGTTTTTCCTTCCCCCGACCTTACATCTATTCATTGGGTATGGTCGACCAGACATGTTTGGATTCAACAATGTTGGTCCAATTGTAATACTTAAAAGGGTGCAAGAGTTATGTTGCAGATATTTGTCGTGAATCCGAATCATAAAAATTTTGATGTATTTGCAGAAGAACTGAGAATGAATGTTGGAGGTTTTTATGTGATAACCCAAAAAGAAAAATTATAAGGCCTAGCCAAATTAAAATAATTTCACTAATCAAGGATATGTTGTGACCATAAACAACAATAAATAATTATATTAAATGAGCAGTTGTCAAATTGAATTTCACTAAAGAAGTGGTGGAAAATATTGGGAATTGATGGCAGCATGGTTGCGATGATGTAAGACCAACGACATGGGTTGGCGTAATAGAGATCTGAAGTCAGCATCACCGATAACAATGGCAACGAAGTATCGGTGGTCCAACAACTGCAGTAAAGACGACTAAGTCCGGTGATAGCGGTTTGACGATGTCAGTAGTTGCGGCAAAAGCCACACGATGGTGGTCAAAGCGGTAATGTCGATCGGGCAGTGATGATTTGGTGATGGCTGCAGAGGCTAAGCGACAATGATCCAGTGACGGTGAAGAAAAACATGCAACCGTTGTCAGATGATGGCGGAGGTCGGTCTGCATTGATTTGATGAGAACGGTGCTTGGCGGTGGTGAAGGCGTTGACAGGGGACTATGGTCTGATAGTCGTGATGGTAGTCAGATGACGATAATCCAATGATGATATGAACTTAGGTTCTCATCTTATCGGCTTTGATATCATTTAGTTCGTTTCATTCAGACATGTCGTTCGTCTATAGTCATAGAAAAAAAATTAATTAAAATATTTCGGCCCAACCTTTTTTTCATTCATTATAAGCAGGTTTGTTAGAAAGATGAGGATGGGCTGCTTGACATGATTAATGTATGTATGGGTTTTAATTCCTAATTTTTTATTTAATTTTGCAAACTAAAATGTCATAAACAGGCCTAAATTGTAATAAGAATAGGAGTCCTCTTTTTGACAGGATAATAAGCTCTTAATCCAAACAGCACGTTTATAACTAACCAATCAGCATATTGATGCATTCATTTCTTAATGGAAATCACTAATACACAATTATTAAATTAAAATTTAATCAGAATTTTCAATTTTAAAACCAAAAAAAAAAAACAAATTTGACATTTCATAGAATTAGTGCGCTTTATGATTTATTAAGCAATATTAGACAAAAATTTCCTCGCAATTTGACTCAAGAAACTATTTATTAAATAATAGCATAGAAGTTGTGAAATTTTGACTAAAGGCTAAAAACATAAGCCGGGTTAAACAAAGTCTTAAATTAAAGACATATTAAATATAAAATATAATTGATTTTGAAAGTGATGAAGACATTTTGAACTTGATGATGAATTAACTAGGAAAAGACGAAAATATTATGCGGGTGCGATAAGCATCATTAGCCAGCCAGAAAGAGAGGAAAATATTATGTCTGTCGTTTGAATAACGATCTTAACTTGTTGTGATCCATGCTGATGGTCGTGCATCCTTTGTACCGGGCACAATGTTTTCCTCAACAAAAATGAGTTAAATTGCCAACAAATGATTTAGGTCTTTGAATTTGAAAAAGTGTGAGACATCTTATAAAATTTAGGTGTTGTGCTCTTACATACTGTATGGCTATCTTCTTAGT